TTTACATGCCCAGAAAGGACATATCCTGAGACTTGTTGCATTTAACCACATGTCTGAACAAGGAAAATGTGGGGCACACAGGCAGCAAAGTTGGCCTGAGAGGAAGTTGAGTGGGCAGAGCCTGATTTGTTTATGTCCAGTGCTTATACAGCTCCTGGAAGCTTAGGGGCATGGTTGGGTGTGACCTTTACAGTGATTGGTTGGTTCCATTTTCTCCCTTCCCATGCAGTCTTTTGCTTTAAAAGGGCTTGCATTGTGGTAATAAATGAGTTCTTGCTTGACTTGACTCCCTGCTGCCTCTGATTGTCTCCTGGGCTAAGGGAGGCTGGGGAACTGGTGAGCTGCCACACTTAACCTTTCCTGGGAACTGTCCATGTTTTGTGGGATGGACGAAGACCTGACAGGAAAATGTCACTTGCCTAAAATAATTGAGCTATTGTCCAAAGTGATCAATGAAAGCAAGTAGTTCCAGTGCGGTGTTTTCTCAAGGAGAGATATCTTCTTTTAAATGCAGCTGAAATGTCCATGATCTTTCCATATTCCTTCATTTAATAATTAATTGATCAATTTTGTGTTGTTAGTGAACAGCGCATCCAGGACACTGTCTTTCTAGGTAGTGGTTCACCCCTTGAACCATGTCTTTAGCCCTCACTGCTTCAAATGGAGTATACAGTTTGAGAGAATGTAGTGAAAGTAGTGGTTGTGGCTCAGGAGTCCAATCAACCTATGTGTGTAATTATCCTTGCTCAGCTACAGAATCGGTTTTGCAAGTTTACTCTTCTTGTCTCTCTTTACTCACCTAGAACATTTGTGTCTTGGACAGGTTCAGTAGACTCTGAGTAGTATATTCCCAAGGTGACGACTAGTGCTAAACCACTGATGGGATGAACACCCTCCAGGTCCATCCCTATGTCTGATTGAGGGGTAGAGGGCCTACTCCTGATGTTGGACACAGAGCCATGAGCCTGCAGGCAGGGACCAAGTTGTTTAGAGAACAGGGGCCCCAGTTTTTGTGGGTGACAGCAACAGTGCTGGCTTCCTTGCCAGTAGGAAGGGGGCAGGCTATCCTCTTCAGGTCCCATGGGAGGAGCCCGGGTTCCCTGAACCAGGCTGGGAGACAGTGATAGGTATGGAGACACTATGGCTCTGGTATGTGCACATGTTGTGTACTGGCCGTTCAAAGTGGATGAAGAGATCAGTGTGCTCTGCTGAGTGAGAGTCAAAGTGCTGTGGCCTAGCATGTCCCATTCCCAAATCCTGGAATAGGAGGCAGCTGAGGTGGAGATGTGGCTGTGTGCAGCCTGCCCTGCCCACGTGGTTGTGGTAGAATATTGGCACAGGTGTGCACTCCCCATGAGTGGGTGGAAAGAGGTCACTGAGTGTGATGGCAGTGGCCACGCTGAAGTGAAGACTGGATCCTGGAGTTTGAGATGTTTAAGGCACTTGTTGTTATATAAGTGGCATTGCTCTCCACAGGAAGAAAGAGCTGCCACGAGTTTGCAGCTCCAAGGATATATGGATTGCAGAAATCATCTGGAAAAAGCAAGACTGATTTTAAAACTCTTGAGATGGAAGGAATCTCATTGTATTTGAGGAACAGGTTTATTTGAAGTTTCCTGTGAAGACGAACCCTCTCATCCCAACCATCACGTCATGTCAACATTCATGTTAGCATTGTGAGAAGTGGTTGGAGTAATTTGGTGTTCTTCTGAAGAACATTGGTATTGTGTTCTCTCTAATCTTGTTCGATTCACATGCCATATCAACAGCTCACTTGCCTATGGTTACATGCATTCAGAAACATTTCTTATCCAAAGTAGGTAGGTTCTGAAGCAATGCATTTGGCAAGAAAAATGTGCAATTTTCTAAGTTTGTGGTTACCAATCAGTAATAGTGGCAAAATGATAAGAGTAATGCTGGTAATAATAACTGATCATGAATACAAGTGGCATAATATACAGGGCTCATGTAGGAATATATATGGTACAAAGGTATTCCACAATGCAAATTATGACCCTGAAAATAATTTGAAAATATGCATATATGCTAAGCCCATATCCAAAGACAAGAACATTTACTAATGAAGTTTGGTTATCACACTTACCATATTCTGAAGAATGCATATTATCAAGTTCCTTTTAGCACCAAACAAGTACAGGGTAGAAGGTGACAGTGAATTAAGAACTTTCGTGATTGTGTGCTGGTTCTGGGACTTGAACTCAAGGCATGAATGTTGTTTCTCACTCTACTGCTCGGTACTATTTCTTGCAGTTTGATGGGTAAGTGAGAAAGAATCATATGTGGATTTCTGCCCAGGCTGACTTTGAAACAGAATCTTCAGATCTTGACCCCCTGATTAACCTGGATTACAGAATTGAGCCACCAATGCTTTGCTAAGTCATGTTTTTATGAATAAGTTGCCAAGGCTGGCATTAAACTGTTAGTCTTCTACCTTTAGAGTAGCCAGAGTTCTGAGCATCTTAGGATCATAAGTCACCCATTTGGCTTGATTTTGAGCCAGTTTCTTGCCAATAGATACGGATGGGAAAACTCTTCCTGTAACTAGTATGTGAAAGGCAGCCCAGTGCAGTAAACACTAGTTTGTAATCAGTCATAATTTGTGTAGAGCATTATTCCAATAAAAATGGATAAGAAGCTTCACCTTTCTGCATTTCTAGCATGGGGGATGTAGAAGTTGGAGCACCAATGATGTCACTATCTCTGAGATGAGTTTCAGCAATATAGCATTAAAACAGAAATATTCAAAGCAGGAAAATGTAAAACAAGCCAAAATGATACGATTCACAGGAACTTAATAAATACAAAAGAATCCTTTTAGTTGACCCAATCCCGTTTCTCTTTACCTTATGGACCAAGTAACAAATATTCATCTTTTTAGATACTTTAATTAATACAGCCATAAACACAAACTACAACTAAGCTCTAAAACATGACTTTCCTCATTTTCAAACCTACTCTGTATTCCTCTTCAGGTTGAGCAAAATAGCATCCCAAAAGTATGAACAATAACTAGCGTTAGACTTCAATTAAATCAGTTTTATTCTAATGATTCTTATCAGTTTTGGGGACATGAGCAAGGGCTTTTGTGAACTAGGACCCTGAGGTATAACCCAAGCCCCAACAAAAATTTTCAATTTAGAATTCCCCAACTGACATAAAACTGGATTTATATTAAAATCAAATATTTAGAAATGCAAAATTACTTTAGGTTTTTATTGTTCAATTATCTACATTGTTTTTCTTCTGGAATCCATGAATTTTAGTAGCATAGATTTTTCTGAAAATTTTACAGTTAAAATATTGCATAAGGACAAACAAAAGTGTGCCTGGCTCCAGTGACACGCTTGAACTCCTAGCTACAAGGAGGCTGAGATCTGAGGATCACAGTTCAAAGACACCTGGCTCTGGATAATCAGTGAGTCATATCTCCAGATCACCACTGAAAAGCCAAATATGAGGTTGTGATTCAAGAAGTAGAGCCAACGCCTTGAACACAAACGTTCATGGAAAGCATCCAGGCCTCCAGTTTGAGCCACATGAAAGACATTATAAAATGCAAACCAGGCTGATATTTGCATTGGCATTGTTGGGATCTCACCCTGTCGAAGGCATCCACCATTTTGTACAGTTCTGCTGACGTGCTTACAAGATAATTACTGAAGGGGTATGTTAAAATGACTCTGGGAGGGAGTTACTCCAGAAAAGACTTTTGTATGAAAGATGTTTTACTTTCTGAACTTCTAGTACCTGATCAGTGATGGGTGAATGTAATAATAGTAGTAGTGAAGAAAGAAAACCACGGATAATGTATAAAAGTGGAATGTGCTTCAGGACTGATATGGAGAGAGATAAAATAAGTTCTGTAACATTAGCCAAAAACATAAAATATGACATATGGAACTAACATAAAGATATAAATGAAAATTTGGATATGTGTCCACCATTCTAGAATTCTATATTTACTAATAAATATATATCACACGTTCCATCTTATGAAAACGAATATATCTATTTCATTTTAACAACAACCAAAAAAAAATAACAAGATTCAAGGAGTGAGTAACTGTGACTTAAGTCTAGTTTGTGTTGGGTGTTCTGGTCTGGGTATTGAACTTGGAACATGAGCACTCTCCCATAGCTTTTTGCTTAAGGCTAGCATTCTTCCCCTTGATTCACAGCTTCTTATCTGGCTTTGGTGATGGTTGATAAGGGTTTTGTGACTCTCTCGCCTGGACTGGCTTTAAACTGTGATCTTCATGTCTGAGAATCGTGAGCAAGTAAGGTCACAGATGTCAGCCTCTTGTAGCTTGCTAAGAAGGGACATGTGTGTGGGTGTGCTAGGTATTTGCGTGCGTTCATATGTGTGTGTGTGTATCAGTGTGTGCATTCTGGAGAGATTTTACAGAAATTTGCCAAGGCTGCAATCAATTTTGTTATGTTCTAACTCAATTCTAGAGTAGCTTCAAATCCAATTAGTATGTAATTACTAGACACCCACTTCACTTGTTTTTGAATGAATTTCTTCCCAGTACATACTGATAGGATCTATCTGTAAAATGTATGTGAAAAGTATAACCTGAAGGAATTGCCATCATTTAGGCAGTGTTAATTTATGTATCATGAGAGTTGAACAAAAATGGTTTGGAAGTTAATCACCTCAGTCTTCCTAGCACCTGGAATGTTGAGTGTTAGGAATCATTATTTCATGGTGTTTGAGACCAGTTTGGGTAAAATAGTATAAACATAAATAGTAAGCGAAGTACATGAGAAATACAAACTGGGCTGGGTGCTTGTGGCTCATGCCTGCAATCCTAGCTACAGAGGAGGCTGAGATGTGAGGGTTACCATTCAAAGCCAGCCCAGACAAAAATGTCTGTGAGACTCTTATCTCTTTTGAACCACCAGAAAACATAAGTGACGCTGTGTTTCCAAGTACTAGAACTCTCACCTTGAGCAAACTCACTCAGGCACAGCACCCATGTCTTGAGTTCAAGGCTCAGGGTCGACAGAAAAAACACATCCAAACCAAAGTAAAACAAAGTATCAAAACAAGGTAAAATGGCATGTTCGACATCAAATCAACACGTTTAAACAAATACTGTCATTATATAAATTCAGATATCTCATAATGTTATAGACTAAGTTAAAGATGTTTATTATCCTAGAAAGGCATTTTAATTTATATACGCAAAACAAAAGGAGTAAATCATCTTTATAAATAGCCTGACAGTTTCCAGATTCTTTTTCAACACCTACCTTATATCTTCAACACCTAATAATTCTTATCCCAATAGTCTTAAAACTAATAACCATCACAATCCAATTATACTAATTTTATAGTTATTTCTCTTTCTATTATTCTTATTATTGTCATTGTCATGACTGTCTGTATTGAGGAGGAAACCCAGGCTTGGTATATATTATGCATGAACTATGACACCCAACTACATCCCCAGACCCATATGGATTTTTCACATGTAGAAAACTCAAACTGAATTTAGATAACTATAGAAGTGGAGATATGGAGATGCAGTTTTGCTTTTTATTCTTAAGTTTTTGTTTCTCAGTGTTAGTTTAAAACGACTGACTCTTAGCAACAATGTGTTGTTTTAGCTGAGAAATTATTTTGTAATTTATTTTTTGTTGTGAAAATACTGTACAGAGGGGTTACAATTACATGGGCAAGATAATGAGTACATTTCTTATCAAGCATTGTAGCCTCCTCCTTTGTTTCCCCTTCCAGTCCCTTCCCAGGATCTCCCTGCACCCTCAACAATCCTCCCCCCACCACCAAAGTTGTAAAGTTCGTTTTCAACATGACAACTTGGACTTCTCATTGTTGCAACGGGTCCTCCTGTATCCTCATTGAAACGACTTGTTTTTCCCTTTCCCCTCCGACATCAAATACAGTGAAAGCAGGGGTTTACTGTGGGGGAGGGACATACAAAGCAACAAAGAAATAATCTTATAAATGTGTTAGAAACAAATGCATGAAAGAAAAAAAACATTTAAATACATATCTTAGGGTTCATTTTCCTAACATCACCTTATCTGACCTTTTCTGCTTGACTCATACATATACTAGATATTGCAAATAGGGGAAACCATGGGACCTGTGTTTCTTTGGGCTTGGCTTACTTCACTTAATATAACTTTTTCCAAGTCTTTCCATTTCCTAACAAATGGGCCAATGTCATTCTTTCTGATGGAGACATAGAAT